CACGATCTACCCCAAGTTTTATTATTAATTACTCGCTTTGAGCGTGTTTTGTAATATTTCACTCATTTAGATATGACATTGATATAAATAACATCAAAACTTTACCAAGCCGTAGCAATTTGTCTTGACATTTTAACTATCAATTGACATTTCAACATCCACTGTTTATTTATTTCATAATGAGTTGTTACACTTAAACAATAATAATTTCACAGGGACCAGAGGGGCTTAAAGGCAGCAAAGGTCATCCTGGACAGCTCGGCGCAATGGGACTTCCTGGTCCTCGTGGTATGTCTGGTTTGCCTGGCGAGAAGGGCGAAAGAGGCGCCGCTGGACCACAAGGGAATGATGGGCCGCCAGGTAGGTTTGAAAATGAAACTAACATAAATGATTGTTTAGATTGAGTTTTATATTATGTAAAGCGGTATATCGACTTCCGACTTTCAATATTTATACATTAATTTATCAAATTAAACTTAAATGATTTTTAGAAGAAAATTTATAACTTTTTCTTATACACCTTATGTTTTGTGTATTTTTAGGACGGCAGGGAGAGCAAGGGCCTCAAGGGCCTGTCGGTCCACAAGGGCATCCAGGTGAACCAGCTGAAAGAGGTGAACCTGGTACCCCGGGAGTACCTGGAGAACCCGGTGCGCCGGGATCGCAGGGTGAAAGGGGTCAGCCAGGATTACAAGGATCTCCGGGACTATCTGGACCACCTGGTTTGACGGGCATGCCAGGTTTAAAAGGCGATAGAGGTTACATGGGTGCAAAAGGGCAACAAGGGTCGCCTGGTAACCCAGGTAAATTTATTTTTATTAATCTTTTATTAATAAAGTACGTTATTAAAAATCAAGATATTTAATAAAATTAAGTTCGGCTTTTGTAAAGATCATTAAGAATATTAAATATTTTGAAATTAGGTATCCCCGGTGAGACCGGACAAAGAGGTCTAGCTGGTCTACCCGGCGCTAAGGGATCCCGAGGAGAACAGGGACTGAAGGGAGACATTGGTCGCGCTGGTCTACCAGGAAGACCAGGTGAATTAGGACCACAGGTAATAAATAATAGTAGTATGCACAACACAGATTTTTGTGTTATCTTTGGGTTGAATTTTATTATTATATTATTTTTAGAAAAAAATCAACGCTTTTACTGTACAGGGAGGGCCTCACACGAAAATTTGTATCAGTAAAGTATGACGAAAAATCTCATACAAATTTTGTAGATCTCGCTACGAAAACGCTTATTTCAAATATTTAGATTGGTTTTGTATCGAAAGGAATATTCTAGACAATCTGAATAAATAATAATGTCCTGGATATAAATGAATTTCCATTTTTTAACGTAATAATCGTATAAACTGTGGTATATTATAGGGTCCCCAAGGAAGTCCTGGCCAAGCCGGACCTCCTGGTATTCCAGGAGCCAAAGGTGCTGCAGGAGATCCTGGTAGACCTGGCCAGTTGGGACCTATCGGTTTAACTGGTGCGCCGGGCCCTGAAGGTCCTAAGGGTGAGAGAGGAAGCGAAGGTGAGATCGGACCGCAAGGGCCTGTTGGACCATCTGGACCGGCTGGCGAAAGGGGACCGAGTGGTTTGCCTGGCATGTCTGGACCACCGGGACCACAAGGGCAACGAGGACCACAAGTATGACTTACTTTAGTAAAGAATATATTTAGTTAAAAAATGATTTTTTATGTTTAAAATGAAATAATAATACAATGTTTTAATTCCAGGGTGAAAACGGAGCGCCAGGCAAACCGGGTTCAGACGGAGCACCGGGACCAGTGGGACCCACTGGCTCACAGGGTCCCCCAGGACCAATGGGAGAACCAGGACCAGAAGGAAGACCGGGTAAACTTGGGCAGCCTGGAATACCCGGAAGACCAGGAGATAAAGGACCGATGGGTCAACCGGGAGCATCGGGACCCGCAGGGCCGCCGGGAATGCAGGTATCTTAGTTTGTGTATGTTGTGCTCTAAAATGTATCTATTATCACAAATGATCGATTTTAGTGGAAGTAATTCATAATGACTAAGTGTAAGTAGAAATTTTAATCTAAATTTTTATAAAACAACATTTTAGGGTCCACCTGGGCAATCAGGACCTCCAGGACAGGCAGGCGAGCGTGGTCTTCGTGGTGAGGCGGGACCACCTGGAGTTGATGGTCCTCAAGGTCCGTCCGGGAAACAAGGGCCTCCAGGGCTGGATGGGAGCAAAGGAGAGCGCGGGGAGGCTGGAGCAGACGGCGCTAAAGGACACGCTGGATTACCGGGACTTCCTGGCATGGTAGGAGCACCTGGCAGACAGGGGGAGAGGGGTTTGCCTGGACCAATTGGTCCTCCAGGAAAAGATGGAGATGTGGGACCAAGAGGTAAATATCGAATTAATGTAAAATTAAAGACAAATACAAGATTTGCAAATATCAATTCAAGAACTTTCAATTATCATTCGCGTATGTTTTAGGAACACCTGGACGTGATGGTAGTCCAGGTCCTCAAGGACCAATGGGACCAGCTGGAGGGCGGGGACCTCCCGGAGAATCGGGTAGGCACGGGGCGCCGGGTCCGGCTGGACCGCCCGGGCCCCCAGGTTTGCCTGGTGAGGGCTTGGCCTACGACGCTGCTGCTATTGCTGCTATGCTTCAACAGGGTAACTTGTTAACAAAATTCTTTACATATACTTTTCTTGGTACATGAAATATTCCATAATGCAATTCAATTATTTTAGGTTCAGTCAAAGGTCCTGATCCATTGGGAGATGATCCAAATAGCTTGCCGCCGCGGTTCTTCAAAGAAGATATGTCGCCTGCGGAGCGCAAGAAGATAGTGATGAAAGCCTACGAACAGCTCAAAGTATCTCTCAACAAATTCCTCAAACCTGACGGCACTAAGGAAGCACCGGCGAAAACTTGTGGCGATATTAAATATCACTATCCAGAATTTGAGAGCGGTAAGTCAGCTTTACAGATCTTTAATATATAATATTTATATTGATAAAGGTTGTCAACAAAAATAAGATAGGTAACAGTTTCGAATACTCTTGTATACCCAATATAAATTTCCAGGACAATATTGGATCGATCCGAATGGCGGCGAAATGAACGACGCCATATTAGTCCACTGTGACATGTCTATTGGTGCCAGTTGCGTGTTCCCGAAGCCGATGCAATCCCAGGACATTGTGTACAAAGGTAAAGACCACGAGGCGTGGCTCAGTGAGATGGAAGATGGATTTACGGTAAGTTATAAACATGCCTTCTTCTTTTAAAAAAAACCATTGGTTTATAAACTTTCTCATCTTTTTTAATAGAATCTTTTTAGAAGCATATTCTTTTATTTCAGATATCCTACAAAGCGGAGCACAGCCAATTGACATACCTCCAGCTGATGTCATCGCGCGCTGTTCAGAACGTGACACTGCATTGCGTTAATACAATAGGATACTACGATCCTACAACACATAACTATAGACACGGGCTCAAGTTTCTTGCCTACAACGACGCCGAGATCCTACCCAAAGCCAACAACAGGCTTAGATACAAAGCTTTGCTGGATAACTGTCAGGTAACTTTAAAGATTTATAATTTATACTGTCGCCGGCGACTTCGTCCGCGCGGAATTCAAAACAAAGATTGATTAGTACACAATGTCCTACGTCTATGCCAAATTTCAGCAAGATCCATTCATCCGTTCTGGAGATATCTTCTAACAAACATCGATCCATCCATCTAAACATTCACATTTATAATATTAGTATGATAAGGTAAAACAGATTCCATCCAGATATTCCAAAAATCATCCATATGCTGGCCTTAGATCTTTCTTCAAATTTATTATTTCCTAACTCAACTTATTAGGTATTTACGCAGTTTTGTTTGTCATAATATGTAACACTTACGATATGACATACGGATAGAGTAATCAAAACTAACCAATCCTGTCTTCAATTCCAGTACAAGAAACAAGAATGGGCAGAGACTGTTCTACAGTATGAAACTGACAAGCCTGGACGTCTGCCACTCCTGGATGTAGCTGTCAGAGACGTTGGCAGAAGGAATCAGAAGTTCCGCATTGAACTCGGTTTGGCTTGCTTCAGTTAAACTGAATTGAAAAACATAACCTCCAAAACAAATCTTCACAATTTGTGTTAAATAATTTTCATGTCATGATTAAAAATATAACAAGAAAAAATAATAATAATACGATTTACATTCGTATATATTTAATGAAATACATAGGCAACTTAAATATAATTGTAAAATTAATTCATGACAGTTGTTTTCCCGCCAAAATTCAGTCACAAAAATAATGACAGTGCTCAATTTTATCCAAAACCATAGAATATTTTAAACTAATCATCTATTAGCATTTTACTTATAATAATTTTTTTTTAAATTATTTTTATTGTTACATTTTATTATATATGTAGCGTAAGAATAATCAAATACTGCCAAATATTATATCGTTCCTAAATAAGTGAGGTTAAGTTTAGATATAATTAGTTAATAAATATTCGTTAATATTTTAAACATTTAAGACATGTTTATTTTTATATTGCATTTATAATTACCTTAAGTACATGAAACTAAGTCGTCACAAAATTTATTAAGATTTATTATCATAGAAAAAAAGTCCTCTTAAGCTGGAGCTTGTACATAATTGTAAATATCCCTAATTGCTCTTTGTCATATTTTAAGTTATTTTGATTTAAGTTTTTTTTTAATATCAGCTAAGAACTGTAGAAAATTAAGTACTTATTAAATATTACAAGCGAAATATAAAGTTTTAATAAATACTATTGTATTTTTTTATTATTTTCGAGAACATTTCTTTTTTTGTTACTTTTTTCTTTGATCTCGTATTATAAAACCTTTTGACAAACTCTTTTGTTAAAACTTTTTTTTTAAAATAAAGACTAACTTAATAATAACAATTCAAATAGTTTGCAATAAATTAGGCACTAAAACAGCAAGCTTATAAGTAGAAACGTACATTATTATCGTTTGACATAATAGAACAGGGTTTCTCAAACCTTTGGTTCCACGAACCCTTATTTCGCCTGAACTCACGAAAGTATCCAATTGATAGTGTCCTCCTTTATAATTCTACAACATCCCCCCCTCCCCCCACTAAAGACAATAATAAAATGAACTATCGAAAAAGCTTAGGTTTTTCTTACAATAATAAATCGCTAAAAAAATATATTTTTGTTATTAATGTGATAGATGGAAATTGTGTTCATTTTAACAATAATTTTTAAATCAAGAAACCATAACTTTAATCATGTTGCGAGCCTTCGAATGACAAATATACGTCCTAATGCTACACGAAGTTGAGAAACACTGTTACAAGACATGAAAAACTCACATTTCTCTATAGATAAAGCACAAAAGCATTATTCGTTCCACTTTGCAGTATTATTCATTACAGGCAATCTTCCTACTACACGATACAAAAGGCGGTACATTACATCTACATTTGGTACACTCTTCGTCCACCGTTACCTCATCACCAACAGATAGACTCGTATTCCCGAACACGCACTGTGAACTTACAGCTCGCAAGTTCAAACCGCGAATGACTTTCGATGTGTTTGTTGCTGAAATAAATGAAATCATTTTAAATATGTTTTTTTTTTTAATTTTAAATAGCTATCATGGCTAAACAACGTCGAGCGCGATCTCAAAAATATTGGCGATAAGAGCTGGACGCAAAAAGCCGAAAGTAGACCAGCAAAGAGAAATTTATTTGACCTGGCCCAGGCTCACCCACGACTGTAGCGTCGCAGATGATGATGATAAGCATAATATATGTACATATATTATTCAGTGTGAGGCTCGATTCTATCCTAATTTAGACTTACGTAGGGCTTGGACCTTCAAAGACATGTGTATCATCAAGATGGTTTCATCATCAGGTTTTGCTTTATCGACCTAATTTTACATTTGAATTTGTTCGTGATTCAGTAACTTACTAAGTTTTAAAACAAATGAAAAGTATACTCACGACATGTAAAAGCGATGGGGCAAACAGAATCGCTTCCTAAAAATATAGGTGCGCAATTTTGGAAGAGTTTATCCTGATAGTGTATCTCTATACCACAGTTAATATCACGACAGGATGCCGAGTCATCAATTGTGCCGTTCCATTGTGCGGTACATATGCATGTTTTGCGACTATTCTTAGGCTCGAAAGCCTCCCCTTCCCTGTAAGTCTTTCCGTCTACTTCGCAAGTCTTTAGTGCAGCCACCGCGTCTTTACCTGGGGAATAAAATAAAACGTTGAAAAAAATAAAAGCAATTAACTAAACTGCCAGTAGCTACAGTCTACGACCGGGAAGAATACGTTTATATTTTTCTTCCTTTCCTAACCTTTCAATGTCTTGCTAGTATTTTATAGCGAAAATTTAGATTACGTCGTAACTTCAGAATAACCGAAGAGATATCAGATTACAAGTCTACGCAGTTTTTTTTTAATTCAAAGTTTCGGGCTACAGCCATTTCATCAGTCAGTCTCAGCCACAAACCAAGCTAGTTAATATTATTCTACTTATAAATACAGAGAAGGTAATAAAAACAGGACTTCCTATTAACATTTAAAATCAGGAAGTCACCTCGGAATTAATTCTTATCATGTCAGATATTTACATGTGGACAATAGATCATTCGAATACGTCTGTCGTGTGCACTTATAAGGTGGCCATTGTTATTTCATGACGCATTATGGCCAGTATTTAACTAACGATTAAAAACACAAAAGTGTTTTTTAATTAAAAAATTAGTTTGTGCCTGTGTCTACTACATCATCCATATCAAATATTACGTTAAGCATTTAAAGATAATGTACAATTCGGCCGATGGGGCCGAAAAGTCCTAGAGTGGCGACCGAGGACGGATCGCGCATGATGGACCGATGACCTGGTCAAGGTTGCGGGAGTGAACTGGATGCGGGCGGCACAGGACCGGAAAATCGATGGGGGAGGCCTACGTACACCAGTGGAAGAATTTAGGCTGATGTACAATTTATTGGTGAAAAAGAAAGCAATTTACACTAAGGAGGACTGAACTCTGAGTATTACTTAACATTAAATTGAAAAGTTGTCTATTACTTACCGCAAACGGTTCCAGTACTACAGCACGATTCTAACTCGTATGTTTTGATGCATTCCTGCTGCATATCAGTGTCGAATGTCTCCACACAATCGACAGCCGCGCAATCGAAACTCGGCTTACCGGACACGCTGCACTGACAGGCGAGAGAACAAGGATTCTTAACTGCTGATTGTGGTATCATAGAACGGTCCTTGTATGGGACACCTCTGGAATTATATTTTTAAGACATTTTAGAATTATTTTATGTAACATATTTATCCAATTAATACAAATCAAAACTTAAAATTACAAAATACTCATAACCCTAATAGTGATGTAATCACTAGAGAAAGTCCATTAACCGTTGGTTTCTGAGGCCAAATTCTCTTTATAAAACATATCATGATTCCTGTCATTGTCTTCGGAAATAAAACAGAATTAACAATATATTTTAAACGGGTATTTTTGTCTCAGAAACCCACGGTAAATCGCATAATTATTTTTTTTTAATATTTTTAAAAATGTGCAATTGAAGTCGCCACAGCGTGACTACTATTTAGGTGAAATAACTATTGTTACTTTAGATTATATAGCCTTCTGATTCAAAGATAATTTATTATGACAATATTGTTCAGTCATCCATTACTTTAAGGAAGAAACAACTATTGTTAGCTTTTTTTAATGTTTTTATTACTCACTTGTACAAAGTCGTGTCACCAAAGTGAGCGATGTAAGGTCGTGGATTTTCCAAAAAAAATACAAAGGTCAATTTATAACATCTTTTTGTAGTATGACGAAAGCATCTTGCGCCTTTTTTGTCGAACACAAGGTCAATGACCTTCGTGTTACATATTCGGCAATATTACAATGATGATTTTAAATGCAATTCGACATTGATTCAATTTCTAAAAACTTTGTTAATATTCGTGATATTAATATCACTAGAAAAATAGTAAAGGTTGTAAAACTCTGAGTGAAATTGGTTTAAATCTATCTGAGGGTCTATTACGATTATTTTCGATATACGTTTTCGTATTTTCATCGACAAAATATGTCAAAATGGTATTAATTTTTTCTGTATTACGTTACGGACAGTTTCTCGCAAATTTACCAGCTAGGTCCTCAGTTCTTGACTTCAAAATAATTTCCAAATATCGTCCTAAATAAAGTCATATGAAGTCTCAGATATAGACAGACTGTGCATTTTCTTTCCAGTACGAAATATTTCACTAATGTTTATAACCTAGTCGAATTCATTGGTAAAATATTATTCCATCAGCCTATTTCAATTACGTGATCAAATAACATATCTATAAAATTACCTATAATAGCACATGCTAGGATCTGGATGTAGTTTAGGGCAGACGTAGGCTTCTGGACAATCCGTGCTGTTGTCAGCCGCGCTTGTCACCGCTGTGCAGCCAAGCTCAGCATAAAAGCCCGCCAGGTTACATTCAGTACTTATATCGGTGAGTGCTGATCCGATAACTATAGAAGAACAATCAAAAAACTTACTTCACCTTACTTCTTACTAATATTATAAACTAGCTGTTGCCCGCGATAAGTAGCCAATGTGTTCTTCCAGACTATGTTCTATATGTATGCCCAAATTTCATGGAGATCCGTTCAGGTGTTCTGGAGGTAGATTTAACATCCATCCATCCATCGATCTAAACATTCGCATTTTTAATATTAGAAAGAAATAAGGTTAGTAAGATTTTATATATGCGAATGTTTGGATGAATGTATAGATGGTCGTGTGTTTGAAGGTATCTCCAGAACGGCTGCAATGATCTCGCTGATATTTGCCACAGATGTAGAACATAGTCTGAAACATAGACTACTAATTAAGTATTTTTTAATTCTGCGCGGACGGAGTCGCGGGTAACAGCTAGTGATTTCATAAAGATATCAAACAATACAGATGCACCTCATTGCATAAAACCTTCTAACTTAACACTGCGGTTTGTGGTTCTTTGAAGAAATAATAAATATGTTCATTTATTTTCGTTATATAGTTTAATATTAAGAGCGCTAGCAATTGAATATATTTATAAAACCGGTAAAATATTTCTTTTAAACATGACTTAATTTGAATATTTATCAAAGACTGAAACAATTTTGTCATTACAATGAAAATTATCGTAATACAGTTTTATAAAAACGTAAAATAACATGTTTTTAGATCAATTTTAAGTCACTTTTATTTTAGGTAGAACTAATTTTAAGCATTATTTACCGAATAACTATATGCATCATCTTACATATAAAGTTTTCGTGTCACGATCTATGTTCGTACCTGTACCTAAACTACTGAACCAATTGTTATAAAATTTTGTAAGCATCTGTAATTTAATCCAACTTGGGAGATAGGATAGTTTTTATCTCAATTATTGACATTTAATTCCGCACGGACAGAGTCACGGGCGACAGCTAGTCCTATAAACTACAATTCGAGTAACAATCGTATGGAACTTTATAATTGCTAATAGGCGTCGCCAGCGATTCTCCCCGCGCGGAATTAAAAAAAAACCAAATTAGTAGCCTATCTGTTCTACCAGACTGTGTTCTACATCTATGCCAAATTTCAGCAAGATTCATGTAGCCATTCTAAAGGTACCTTCAAACAAACATCCATCCATCCACCCATCTAAACATTCGCATTTATAATATTAGTAAGATTACTAAGGGGAAACCCAAGACTTGAGACGTAATACTTGTGTTACTTATTCGTATTTATCTTTACTGATAGACTAATGTTTAACACATGGTTCTAATCTGGGAAGTTAGCTAAGCATACGTTATCCAAACCAAATGTTCTTGTTAGACTGAACTGCTGTTATAAAAAGATATGATTTATGTTCTTTATGAAATTGAAAATGATTAAATTGAATTACGGAATCAAACCAACGGTTATATTTCGCATTCCGTATCTTAAACCAATAAGCTTTGGTGCTTTTATGTGTATTGCATAAAATTCGACTTCTTTGTTTTTGAAAAGATTTGAATTATAACGATTAAACGGACTATCTTGGTCTAGAAATGTTCGTGAAGGTCTAGGGAAGGTTTAAAAGGTGAGAAAAATTCGTATAATTGCCGGGAACTAGTTAAGTTTTTTGTTATTCCATGCGGACAGAGTCGCGGGCGACATCTAGTAATATATAAAATTGAACATAACATAGTCGTATTAGAAAGCGTGAATTGCGCAAGTGAACTTATCGACTACATATGACAGATTATAAAAGTGTGTCATTGACAAACTCGAAAATAATACTTACAGATAAATATTAAGAAGAAATACGCTTCCATTATTGTCCACACTTCCTTAGTCACACAATAAATTAATTAAAAACAAAATTTAAACGATATTTAATTGTATTAACAAGACATGCGTCCCATTCGATTATCGGCATGGGAATGACCTGAGAATGAATCAACCGACGCTTACAATGATGCAAAGTTTATAAACAAATAAAATAAATAACCTTGGTGCAATACCAGCACAATAAATCACAATATTGTATCGTGAAATTATCTTTAATATAATTTATATTAATATTTTTAACTACATGCTTTTTTTGTATTTCAATCAACCTGAGAAATTGGTAAACTAAAAATGCGGCATTTTCGCGCCAAAAGATGACCAATTATCATATTTTTCGTAATTAAAATTTTTACGCGTTTGCAACTTAGTTCAAAATCTATATATATTACTAAAATTAGAGTTGCTGTTTGTAGTTTTGAAAAAATAATTTAAAAACAAAATATCATACACTTTGCGGATACAAAAAAAAAAAACATTTTTTTAAATTTTTGTTTATCTGCCTGCGTGTCCGTCTATCCGCAAGGACGCGTTTGATCCAGGTAATCACCGGAAACGCGGGACTAGCTTTAACGGAAAGGTATCTAAAGCATGCGGGAATACAGGCTAATTATAGGCGACTTTTTCCAACGCTGCGGTGACGAAGTCGCGGGCGATCGCTAGTTATTTTATATAACGGTTGATAAGAGAGATTGTTAGTTGATAAATTGACGACAATCCACGATAGTATTATAGATAGTGGCTGATTAGTCGTGTCTTCCGTTCACGGAATATCACATTGAATTACATACTGAACTCTTTTGTTCCGTAACTGATATTTCAGCATCAATAATAATTCTAGTTACGTGAAGAATTTAATAATTTTTCTTACCTTAACTTAACCTTATTCAATAAAAAAAATCTTCGGTTTAAAAAATTGCGATAAAATTTGAACAGGCGCAATGGGCAAACTTTTTCTTAGTAAAATCTGCATAAATTAGCTGTAAATTGATGATCAGCTTCGAAGATTGTAGTATTTTCAGATTAATTTAGACATATTTTATGTGTTTTAAGAAAATGTTATATGGGATTATTAGATTATTATTGAATAGATATATAAATACAACAAAATATATAGTAAAAATGCTTTATTTGAAGATTTATATATTATATTAAATCGTATCATTTTTTTTTATTATAAAATTCGTTTAAAACTGCTCTAATGATATAAAGTAATATTTGGTTATTAAAAAGAGGTTTAATATAAATTATTTATCTAGATTTACTTCTAGCGCCTTGCAGCTAGGCTCTTATTAATTGACCACGTTTAGTTTTTTGTGGAGATCTTCATGAGGTCCGTAAGGTGGTCTTCGTGATGTATAAAAGTCTTTGAGGTTTACATAAGGACCAGGCACTCGTACTCTGAGCTGCTTCTCTCTTCGCCATCGAAAGGATAGTAACATACGCCGTGGCTTGGATGAATCTGGAAACAAATAACGACTCCTGTAGCAAACAAATAGTTTCATTCCTGTGTAAGTGTTATTTTTAAATGTCAGGCGCTCAACTTTACTTCCATAAAGGAATAGTCCATCTCGCCTGGTAAATTAACTTTTGATCCTTCAAAGGCCGAATTTCACATGCGCATGGCTGCACTTATAAAATGCTCTGCACAGTTTGCAGTGCCACTTATTTATTGGTATTTACTCGATGGTATACGAACGTTATTAAAACGTTTAATTAATTTTCTCCCGCAGTCCTAGTGCATACTATGTACTTGCACTTTTGACCTGGTATTAACGTTATATGTACATGGCTGTATCCTATAGCAAACAGAGCCATACAGGGACAGCAAGCAGTGCATCCGCTAAAGCAGTCTATGTATTTTATCCCTTACCTTTCCAGGTGTGGTGCAGCCGTCGTGAGTTACCCTGCCGAAGTACAGTTTCTCTCCATCAGCGGTGACGCCCGCTTCCACCGCGCCCGGTGGCGTCGCACCGTTTGTAGAGAACTGCCAAGAGAACATCGCTGGCACCAGCACCTGAAGAACGCGTACAATGTTAATTAAAAGGATAATGAACTCTTTGTCATACGAAAATATAATGTACTTAATTTGTCTTAAAATACATTGCCAATACGATGTCATATTGCCATTTCTCTTATCTTCTTGGAAAAAACAGAGATGGCAATAACATATAAGGACAGAGCCATCAGAACCGTTTTTATGTTTTTTTTTTTTATTTTATTTTATCAACGAATATCTATTTGTTCCGCCAAATGGCATCATTGCTCAAAGAGTAAAAATCCTCCCTGCCGCATAGATTATATCTTACCAAATTATTTTAACTTACTGATGTTGCCGCACGTTTTTTATAGCCAGTATCATCTTAAAATTTACTCAACTGACAATATTATGTCTCTTTGATAGTGAACTAATGAATTATACCTCAAATTGATCCTTCAAGATCTCCTCTCCACCATAGGCAATGTAGCAGGCGTTTTTAGTAGGAATGACCTTCGCAGGTAATATGTCACCCTCGTGCGGTGCGCGCCCTGCGTAGATCTCATCCCCATCGGCATCGGTGCCAACCCTTAGCGCGCCAGGCGGGATGCTGCGCTGGCTGAGGCACGCGGGGACCCAACGGTATGTACCTGGAATAAGCCGTGAAAGTGTTAAAGAAAAACAAAAGAATAAATAACATGACTATGGTGACGAAAGAAATACTGGCAAGACATTTTTAGAGTGTGTTAAAAAATAAGCAGAACAAGAGACATATAACGAAAAAGATATTAAAACCAGGAAAAGATATGAAAAGCTGATGGCAAGAAAAAGTAGATCGAAAAAATGCTGAAGCTATGTTTTTTAAATGTAGAATAGTTTTAAAACAGCTTAAAAGGAGGTCCTAATGTTATTGATACTTTATAAAAAAGTTACGATTAATTACAATAACAAATGATCTATGATTTATAACGACACAGAAAGCGACGGCCAACACTCTGTATGGTATCACCGAATTAAAAAAAGAATAAAAAAAATATATTTTAAAAAGATTGGTTACGGCAAGGAGGTAGGTAAGGGATTAAGGAACCATAGAGAGGATTGGCCCAACATTGGCAGACAACACGGAATCCCAAGATAACACCTTTGTACAACCCTAATTACATTGACTTTGTAACTTCGTACAACCCTAGCTTTAATATTTTGACATGATTTCTAATGATACTAATATTAGATGATAAAAAAAAACTATTAATATAACATTAAAATAATAATCAAAATATTATCATTCGATAATAAAAAAACTATTGTCCATTCCGTATACGTGGAATATGAATGAATCATAGTTTTTCAATTGAAATATTAGTTTATTTGATATATTGATAAAGCTTGCTTATAACGGATTAGATTGTTAAAATTCAACATACGGATTTATCGATAAGATAAAGAATAAAGAAAAATGAAGACAAACAAACACGGATATCTTTTAAATAGTACTAAAGGTGTTATCCCTACACTACCCATATGCCTTGATAATAAAACGTTAAACGTAACACCCGGCAACATAACTCTAATTGTAACACAGGTGTTACGTGCTACCTAGAACTTACTCCAAGGCAATTCAACAGTCTCTCCCGGTAATTCAGGTACTATTTCTTCTGGTTCAGCATTCTCTACCACATCGACGGGACCGGGCGGAGGGGGGTACGGGTAGAAGTATGCGGGGTGGTATGGGTAGTAAATGACACCCGGTGGAGGGTACATTGGGGGAGGATGACCGGGGGGGCCGGGCGGGTATCCGTGTGGAGGAGGGGGTCCGCCGTAACCATAATAAGGACGTCCTGGATAAAATATTACATATATTATAATTTAAACTATTTTTTTTTTCTAAAAATATGAATATTAGCTATGGAGGTTGGAGAAAATTTAATGTGCATGTCAAACAGCTAAAAAGAAATCAATAATATTACTTTACAAAGTCATCACTCAAACTTATATCAGACAGACAAACAAATCGACTCAAATTGATTCCGGCCTGACAAATTCTAGACAAAAGAGCGTCGGTGGCTCAGTGGTCAAGCACTTGACTTGCAATCTGCAGGTTCATGAAAACATCGTGATGCAACCTGCACATATCTGAGAAGAAATTCAAAGATATGTGTGAAGTCAACCAACCCGCACTTGGCCAGCGTGGTTGACTATGGCCTAATCACCCTTAACTTAGAGTAGGTTCCGAGCCCCTCGGTGGGGACGTATAGTGAGCTGATGATGATGAAATTCTAGACTGATTTTATCGGTTTTAAATTCTGTAGAAATGTATTTGTTTGAGTTTAATAGTATATATTTTTACGTAGACAGTAATAATTGATATATCACAAATATATTTTGAGATTAATTGATTTATAATGTGATGGTAATCATTTTATCAATTACAGATACTGTTAAAATATCGCATTAAGATATGACAAATAACATTTACTTCGAAAAAAAAAAGTTCGAGCCACAAATGTAATTAAAACAAAATGCTATTGCGAGTTTTTAATTAATACATTAAGGAACTTATTTTCCACGCTTTTTTATACAAAATATATAAAGATATAACATAGTAAGTGTCCTAAGAAGATATATGTAGATATACATTATCAATAGTTAAATACTAATGAGTAATGTCATTGTATTAGTAATCCTTGGACAACTTCGCACGTATTCACTTTTATTTGCTTTAAAACTCTTTGTCTATTGAGGACAATTGCCTTTACTTTCATAATCACGAGTTTCTTGTTCTACATGTGACGTTGTTGACATCAAATATTATACTCCCTAAACTCTAAACTTCCTGAATTATACATTTTTATTTTTAATCGCATAGATAAATTCACTATCTACTTTATTTTTTTTATCTGTAATCGGTAAATAACTTTTCGAAGACTTCTTCGAATTTAAAAAAATGATAAAGATAAATTATCGTGGAAACAATTTAAAATTGGAACGAAAACAATTGCCTTATACATGGGCCAGTTATAATTTGTTATTAAAAAAAATTGACGGTATCTTCAGAGTTTCAAAGTGCTACAGCCAATTAGTATAAGAACAAAACTAACTATTGTATCTTAACTTATCTCCTTGCAATAAAAAAATATTGAAAATAACGCAATAAAAATATAATTCCAAAATGGACAAACTCCATGGACTTTAAAAAAAATAAACGTCACAAAAGGTTTTCCCGGCAAAATAAATGATGCATTTTGAGGTTATTCATAATTAAGTGTAACAATTAACGTCACAAATCATACGTGTTATTGGTTAATTTTAAAAAAAACCGTGAAGAAAAATTACAAACGATAAACATACGTGCGACAATAAGGGAAAATAGGTCTTTTTATTGCACAATTTATAGAATATTATCAAGTTTGTTATCAGTTTATCAAACTAACTCACCGGCCATGTTGCGATCGTTACGTCGTGAGGTGCACTGATATACTGCGCGGGTAACCTACGATGTTTCGTTTTTATTCTATACACCTGATTCGATACATTTAACAAAGATTAGTTCGGCAAATTTTGATAAATCGAAAATAACTCGTATACGATAAATAAATGACACACGTATTGTGTTTATGATTTAGTCATTTTTTTTACAGAAAATATTTCATTACGTTGGCATTGGTTCTTTTAAGTTTACCCATTTAAGACAATCTTAATAGGCAATGCTAGATTAATCTGGAACATCGTTCGGTCATAGCTAGATATTTTATGATATTTCATTTAAGTAAAAAGTTAGGTTATCAAATCAAAGTTAGGATTTCTTGTGTGTATTTACAAGAATTAATCTAAAACATTCCGTCTTTTGTGAAATGCGTCATAATTAATAATCTTTTAAATTGAAAGATTTGCAAATAAAAATTATTGCCAATTATTTTAGAATAACATTGACGCATAATGCATAATATGTATGTACATACATCGCAGACAAACAGATGTGTACACAGGTGTATCTAAATTTGATTTAGTAACAGTGCAAGACATTTGTTATTAGCAATTGTAATTTTCTTATGTAATTTTCATTCGCAATTCAAATGCACAATAAAACACATTTAATGAAAAGCATAAAAATGTGTTAAACACTTTCCTTAATAAAAAATAATCTCCAAATGCAATCTGTAATTATTTTATTTCAATAGTTTTCTATGTTTAATATTGCCTGTATAATTAGATGAATAGACTTACCTAACTTTAGTAGCCTTGTAGAAGCCTCAATGTGTGGTATTCTTCGTGTCATTTGATGCGTCAGGAGTTAAACCATGATAATTAAATCATCTATCACCGGGTATCAGCGATTGGCTCATCTACTAGATATCGTTGTCTTTTTACTTTTTTATACTTACTACTTGTGGAAATTAATAAGAAATAATAAACTACTGATGCTAATCGCTTACCGTCCCCATAGGTCACGGCAACATGAAAACAACGAATTTGTATTTTATTTTCTAGCTAATTACTACCTTAGTTTGGTAAGACAAAAAAAGGTCAAATCAATCCAGATCTTTATTCACTTTGAACAATATTTCTTAGCATTAATAATTATTTGTGATACTTTGGAGAACTCTTCAAATGCAGGTCTAGTGGTCTTCTTTTTATTAACGTCGAATGCCGCGTAGACGTGAACTAAATCTTTTAACATATCTTTGACCAATTTTTGATAGAACTGCACGCTTGGTCTTCCCAATTTCTCAGCTAGAAGAAGCATGGATGTTGCCTGTGAAGTTTAAAAATGTTTAACAAACTTCGTTGAACAATTTCGACAAATATTAAAGTTAAAAATGCTACCTTTGTTCTCCAAAACTTTAGCATTTCCCCTAAATTGGTCCCTTCTTGCTTCTTTCCTACGTCCTTTATATTCATACGAAGGTAGTAGAAATGGTGACGGCGACAAATGTCCGCTGTAAGGAAACGACTCTTTATAGCCTTCAAATCTTAACCAAATTATGAATGCGAAGTATCGACGATTGGACATATGCAGTTCCACCAAACAGATAAGGATGTGACACGCAACATGAATAGACTTTTCTGGAATAGTTCATAGATCTCAATTTTTAGAGTTCCGTACATCGGAACGAAAAAACAAAACCCTTAAAGGATCACTTTGTTGTCCGTTGGTCTGTCTGTCTGCCAAGACCCTTTTTTAATCCATGCGGACGATGTTAAAGTCGATAGCTACTTAGTTTGAGAATATGAAAGTTTTGAAATCATGATAGTTCCTCACCAGTACATGTGTCTTCATCATCACCATCAGAACAATCTTTTTTACCATCACAAACTGCTTCTACAGGTATTGTCTGGTTTTTATTACCTCTGCAGTTGTATCTACTCAATTTCTTTTCAACTTCACAAGCTCTAGCACATTCCGGAGAACAGTATGCCTTTATACATTTATTATTCTTACAAATACAACCGTAAGAAGAAATTATTTTATTATTTCCTGTATTCGAATGTTTTAGAATTTTGACAACAACTTCGTTGACCGATTTCAGAAACTTATACATCTCATCGACATGGTTTGCGTTGTAAGTATTTTTGATATAATTTCCATAAACGAGACTTAATAAATCGAAACATTTGTTTCTTAGAATTCTAAGTTCTTCAATTTTGATATTTGGTTCCATTAGTAAATGCTGCAGCTTGTAAATTGAGTTGTACAAACGAAGTAAATCATTCCTCACGTGTGCATTTTCTTTGGACGCCATTTTCATTTCTAGTAATTTAATGATTTGTTGAAATCCAACATTCGCCTCGAATTTGCCTCTTCCTTTACCTGAATATGAAAGAGAAGTGTTAGATTCTTAAGTTTACATTTTTACACTTAGGTTTATATTAAATGGTATAGAAAATTGTAAAGTAATGTGTAAATGTTCTTACGAATTTGAAAATGACGGTTTTAAGAACACATCGGCGGTGGAACTGACTCACCCCAGTAAAGTTTCATTGATTACTTACTTGAACAGTCAACTTATTTATCTATTCGATGACAAAATATTTTAACATACCTGTACTACATGAATCTTCATCGGACTCGTCATAACAATCAAGTTTACCATCACATATTGTATCCAGATGAACGCTCGTTGATCCATTAACACCTGGACAACTCCATCGACTTAAATCATACTTCAGAATGCAGGCCTCATGACAGGATTTGACACAAGTGCGAGAAACACAACGGTCTTTCTCGCAAGTACATGATTTCGGGTATAGCGCGCTTTCCCTTAAAACGTCTTCTAGATCCTCGTCTAATATACGATTGAATCTACGAGAATTATCAACCAGTGCACTTGATTTTTCTTGACGCGAACAAACACCTTTACCCAGATTTAACATCACTTTGTTTAAAGCTTCTGAAACTTTTTTTACGATTCCCTCACTGCTTTGAGTCGTGTTACTCTCTCGGAAACCATCTTTATAGTCCTTTACTACATCGATTTGACCCTTTATCCAATCGCGTATTATCTTTTGTTGAATAATAGAATCGTTTGATTTACCCAAAGCACAATTTAACTCGTAAGATCGATTCATTTCAAACAAAGAGTTTAGTGCGTAATCTAACTTTTTAGTTGCTGAAAGAAAAACGGATACGATGATTATAAAAAAACAATAAAATATCCTGCCGTTCTCATTAAAAAAAATTCCAACCTTGTTCTCGACAGTGATTTTCATCAGATCTATCCTTGCAATCGACAATGCCATCACAAATGTTATCAACTTCAAAAGTTTTCTCTTTATCAGGACAAGTAATTTTATTTAAATAATTTACTTCAGAACAAATCATCGCAATAGTAACAACGCAGTCTGTATCCAACTGCTCTAAATCATCTTTATTTTTGCCTTTATCTTCTGACCAGTATTTACTAACATTTTGTTTTACACTCTCATTGTATTCGGAATTACTCATTGTTCTTCTTGAATTTTGATAAATATGTCGTTTTAAAATTTCATTTATGCTATTTGTAATTATTTCGTTATAATCAATATTGTCAACCGTTCGTAATGCTATCTTTTTTACCCGAGCGACTTCTAGCATTCTTTTCCTAACATTTTCTAAAAAGGCACGTTTTTCATCAATTGTATGCAATTGGTTTAAATAGTGTTTAGCGAATGAATCAATTTTATCTGTCACCCTTTGAGCCAAGTGGTCTCTTACAATACGTTCTTCGCTGTCAATCGAGTCTTCTGATTTTTCCCGGAAGCTCCTTTCATTTTTGCTATTCATTGCTGGGAGAGCCTTAGTTTTGATCCCTTCCATTATTATATCTACATATTTCCTTCCATCTTCTCCGAAAGATTGAGTCGCAGCTAGTCTTAATTTTTGCTCTAATTGTAATAATATTTTGGGTTTCTCTTCATTTGGTGCTTTTGATATTATAGTCAGTATTTTTCCAATTTTATTCATAATATCTTTGATGACCAATTTTTTCCCCTCATCTTTCGCAACTTCATCGAATGCTAAATAATAATTTTGTAACATTAAAAATATAGCTTTGGTTCGATATTATAGTAATCATAGATTCTTACCTCCTCCATAACATAAAAGTGCAAAAAGAATAATTCCCTTAGTAAAGGAAAAACTCATTTTGTTTAAAAGATCATACACACATTTGCTAGACCACTTTTAACATAAATCTTTAAATGGTTTTAGAACTTTCGAGATAAGAGTTTAATTATCTTAACACTTAATTTTCAATTTACCAGCAATAACAATATAATTAGTGTAGTTTTTTATTCTTGTGTTTGCATAAGTGATAAGTAATAGCAGTAAAATGTAAAAATTTCAAGCGAAAGAAAGTGCAAAACGTTCATAGTAAAGTATACAATTTATCTTGTAGCTGAACAGAAAAGTAACGATAGGTTCTCGGACACAACACTACTCGTAATTATAACAATCAGTTGGAGTCTGAATATGGAATTAATGAAAAGTTAGGAATATGAACTTTAAAAAGAAAGTTTAATAAATCAAAGCAATTTTTTTGTATACAATACAAACGAATATTTGTTTTTTTTTGCTTTAATATTTTTACCTTCAGTTTAGGTTTAAAATGTTTTTGTAAAATGGAACGTAACATCTTCCCGAATAACTGTCACACGTCAAAAACTGTCATCACTGACATAAGAATAACCTATAACTGCAATTTAAAAATAAAAATATATTTGTTTTTAAAAGTAATCACTTTCACTAATTATAAAAGAGTGTAACTACAAAATAATACAGAATGAATATTTCAATGTTAAAAGTTATTCAGGTATGTAAAATTGCCAAATTTAAACCATTTGTTAAAGTGTTGTAACCACAAAAACTAATTCTGTAACCATAATTTGCAGCCTAAACTAGGAGCTGGTCAGCTTATCAATCTGGCTCCAATATTAGCATCACAAATACATACATCGACACCTTTGTGTCGTGTTGTTTCGGGCAAATATAGAATTACGAAGAAAAGGGACAGACCTTTAACATATGAAATGGCTAATCCTCCACATTTTATCGCTCA